TCTTTCTCCAAGTACCCATCAATCTGATTTGGTAGAAGCACTTGAAGCAGCCATGCATGGAAAGAGCAAATCAGTGAGATAACATATTTCCAGTTCATTTAAGATTTCAAGATTAATACTTATACTTTCAACTAGGCTAGGAAATGGACTGGAAGCAGATGGAAGAACACCAATGTGATGGGATTATATCTCCCAACCCCAGGACACAATATTGTTGCTCTCCTCTAAATCGGCTGTATTTCCGAGATCATCTCAAAAGCTACTCTACATACGCAACAGTACAATAGCTGTATTTCCGAGATCATCTCAAAAGCTAATCTACATACGCAACAGTACAATAATCCAATCAGATGTTAGCACCTAGATGGGCGGCATATAAATGCAATAAATAAATAAATAAATAAAATAATCCAATCAGATGTTAGCAGACCATAAGACCAATGTGTGCCAAGAGAATCTCTCTTTGTCCATATTAAGACTTCTAGTCACTTGGGCCTAGCCCAACAGCGACGTCTGCTTGGGCACGTCGTGAGAATGGCTGACAGCTGGATTTTAAAAAATCTCCTATATGGAGAATTAGTGCAGGGAAATCGCCCCAGAGGGAGACCCCAGCTGCGATACAAGGATATCTGCAAGCGGGATCTGAAGGCCCGAGGAATGGGCCTCAACAGATGGGAAACCATGACATCTGAGCGCTCAGCCTGGAGGCAGGCATTGCATCATGGCCTCTCCCATTTTGAAGAGACCCTTGTCCAGCAGGCCAAGGTAAAGAGGAAGTCACAAAAGCAGCAAAATCAGGGAGCTGGACTGGGGACAGATTGTATTTGTCTTCGATGTGAAAGGGATTGTCACTCTCAAATTGGCCTTCTCAGCCACACTAGACGCTGTTCCGAGTCCTAAATACAGAGATGTTACCATAGTCTCTAGAGACTGAAGGATGCCTAATCTAAAGTCACTTGGGCCATCTTGCACCTCAGGATACAAGCCTGGATTGAAGAACATCCACAAAGCTGAACACCACATCCTTTGGGGTGACAGCAATGCCCTCCAGAGCAGGCTGAACATAATTAACCAGTGAGAGGAACTGTCCAGTACAGTACAGCCACATGTCTGCTACAGACAGAGTCCAAAGGCACACCTTATTTGTGAGTCCAACAACTACTGTACTGACATTAAAATTTTTAAATAAACACAAATCTATAACAATTATCATTACTTTAGATTCAATCACTAAAATAATACATTATATCAAAAATGTCAAATAAGAAACAAAGAAACTTATCAAACAAATAGGGAAAATAGGAAACAGAAGATTCTCAGTCATCCAGGTGAGATTATCTGGAAGGTGAGTCATGGCAACTGTACTTCTTTCCTATTAGGTTGAAACATTTCACTACTCATCCAAGTAGCTTCTTCAGTCTGAGGAGAGTTCTATTTTATTTGTACGATCAACAGATCAGATGTGAGTCTGAGGAGAGTTGGTAGGAGACCCCTGATATATCCTCCAGGTTGTTTTCACTTTCCCCTGGTCTGAATCGGCTCCTTAGAAGGACAAAGAATTGGGGGGGGGGAGTGAAAATCCCTTCTGCAGTCCTGCTCCACCACGGGTTGTTAATAGTGGTCTTTCTGGTGGGTGTGGTCCTGATTTTTCTGGGGATGGATGAAAGGGCAGCATGATAAATAGAAGACCAACTATCTCCTCTTGAAAGACAATCTAACAATCTAGTACTTTTAAAAAGCTGTCCCAGAGAAAAGCAGCTCCATACATTCCTTCTGGGGTCACACTGTCTTACATCAATACACTCACATCAGTGTGCATCATTAACTTGAAAGAAAACTCTGTACAGTGGTGCCTCGCTAGACGATGATAATCTGTTCCACTGAAATTGCTGTTTAGCGAAATCATTGTCTAGCGAAAAGCATTTCCCCACTGGAATGCATTGAATTGTTGTCAAGCGAAGATTGGCCATAGGAAAGCCACTTTGCGAACCGCCGATCAGCTCTTTAAATCGCTGTCTTGCGAAGCTTAGGTCCCAAAAACACCTGTTTTGTGAGCACGGAGGGAGCTGTCAAAATCGTCGTCTAGTGAAAATCGGTTTACGAAGTAGGGACCAAACATTGTCCAGCGAAATTCCCCCCATAGGAATCACTGTTTTGCGAATCACTATAGCCATCGCAAAAAGCCAATGTCTAGCGAAAAAACTGTCATGCAGGGTAACTGTCTAGCGAGGCACCACTGTATGGTATTCTCCACCAGTAGATTATCTAAACCTTAGGCTATAACCCAGAAATAATAATAACTTCCTTTCTCAACATTTTGAACCATATGTCATACTGAAGTCCCCTGAGGTTTATAATTAAAACCTCTTAACAACCACCAACTTGTTCTTCAACAGACACTATTCTTATTCAGGCATTGTTTCCATTTTAATTTTGCTAGACAAATGGCAAGATAGAGGAATTTATCTTAAAACCTTTGTGCTGACAAGAGATAAAGGGAAAAAAACAGTAACTAAGGGCAAGCAAGAAGAACAAAGTAGAACTGAACAAAAAACCAAATCTAACTAAGGGCAAGCAAGAAGAACAAAGTACTGTAGAATTGAACAAAAAAAAAACCAAATTAAAGCAGAAAATGGGAGCTTGAGGGAGAAGTCCTGACATGACCTCACAGAAGTGGGATACAACTAACAAGGAATAAGCCAAAGCATAAAAGACTAAATATATATATTTTTGGTACTTGTGTACATGTTGAATTAGAATACAGGTGAGCAGGTTTGAGAATGACTTAAAATTTTCAGAACACTTAAAGGAAAAATGGACAAAGAATTCTCAAAGGATGCCTCCAAACCGAACGGATATTAAAATGGCATGTGTTTTTGTCATGCGTGTGTGGTGAAGTACAGTGTAGCAATTCCCCCCTCCCAATTTCCAGTCTACACAAATTGGATGAGAGCTAGTAATAACTGACCCAAGAAAGAGATCTTAGGGCTGTGTTGGATGCCTCCGTGGAAAAATGTATTCATTCAGTGCCAATATGAAACAGGCAAGCTGCAATGATATACAGCCTCGTCTTATTGCTCTGCCTACCCCCATGTTGTCTGCTCAGCAACTCTTCAGGGTTTCAGACAGAATTTCCTACCCTATCTTGAGATCCCTGATTGGTTTCTCAACCAAGTACTAGCCATATCATTAAGAGGGATGGATATAACAATGGCTAATAATCTATTGTGAGATTGAAACCACCCTTTTAATACTGTCCACAGATCTAGTTGTCACACAAGTACAACACAAATATGCACAAAACATGCTTTACCCGTCCTACCTAAAGATGCCAGGGACTGGTTTAGGGCCTTTTGCATGCAAAGCAAGTGACTGCTACTGAGCTACAGCCCTTCGACTCTCTTAATTCTGAGCAATTCCATCAAATCTTTTCATCATTTCTACTACAGTAGGATGGAGCAGAAAGTCACTGGTAGAGAAACAATGGGGGGGGGCAACAAGATGGTGGCCTACAAACAATAACACAATCTCATATGGTTTGCGCATAGCAAACCAAAAACTGAACTAGTGTAGTGTAGTCGATAGTGTCGAACTAGGACTCAGAAGACCTGGAGTCAAATTCCTGTTTGGCCATTCAGACCCACTGCGGAGTAGCAATTGTAACACTACTCCATGAACACCTCATATAACTTGAAAATCCTATCAAGGTTCCGCAAACCAGAAACAATTTTTGGTTGTTTGTTTCACTTTTATACCACCCTTCTAGCCAAAGGCCTCTTTGGGCAGTTTGCAAGACAAAACATACAACAAGCATAGCTAAACACCGATGTCAGCAGAGCAACCAGTGTGCCTGACCAACCTTACTGACAGGTATGTGTCCAGGCACAGTCAGGTCACACATACTTGCTTCTGCGCCAAGTTTCATGCCCAGGTGCAACCGCCAGCCAGAGCACAGAAAGAGTTCTGACTCCTGTCCTCTGAAGATGCTGGCCACAGAGGCTGGCGAAATGTTAGGAAGAAGAAAAACCTTAAGAACACGACCAACAACCCGGAAAACCCACAACAACCATTACAAAATCTGTTTGTGCAATTTCCCTTGGATTTGGAAGCCTCCAGTCTCTTTTAGTCTAGATCGAAGAGCCCCATGAATATGAAGCAGAGCCTTACTGGTACTGGGGTAATTAAATGGTGGTTTAGCAAGAGCAGTTGCTAACGGTATCTTCATAAGCCTTCCAGTAGTTTCCTAAAGCTGGCTGACTAGATCAGCGGCTTAGGCAGAGGTCGGGAGTTCGATTCCCCGCCGTGCCTCCTCCTGGGCGTAGAGCTAGCCTCTGTGGCCTTGGGCAAGCTGCAGAGTCCCCCCCCCCGGGGGGTACATTATAAAAAAAGGAATGGTAAATCACTTGCGAGTCCTGTCTCTCTAGAAAGTCCTGAAAAGGGTCGCCCTAACTCAGAGTTAACTTGACGGCACAAGATTATTCTAAGTTTTCCCGACTCCTTCCTCCTCTTTTCTTTCCCTCGTTAACAGAGCTAGAGGGAGGAGGGGGGGGTCTTTCCGTCCAGCCCGATCCCGTGCCAAGTTATTCCCAAGGAAAGCACCGGCTGGAAAAAAAAAAAAGAAGGCCACCCGCAATCGACCATCAACACAGGAACGGATCAACCATTCCTCTTTCCGGCGATGTTTCTAGGGAACCACTTCGAAACAGCCACGAGGAACAGAACTCAGGCCTGAACAAGGGTTCTCTCTCTTTCTCTCTCTCTCTCAGCCCCAGGGAGGCAGCGATGCTCGGAGCGAGCGGGTGATCGGGTCACAGTAACATGAGAGCCTCTCCAGCCTCTCTACGTAAAAGGCCCCGGCCTGACCTCCGCAGTCCCACAATGCACCGCTGCTTCCCCGTGGCTGCATTTCAGCCCTCCTAGTTCTTCGGGACTCTCGCCATATCCCTCAAGGCATTGTTTCCTATCCCGTCCGGCCTTTCCACCCCCCCTCCCCGCCTTACCTCAGTCTCCCAGCATGCACTCTGCTTATGGGGAGGAGGGGGGGTCGCGTGGCCACTCCCTTTAGCGCCCGCCCATTCCCCCTGATTCCCCTAGAATTCCGTGCGCGCGCGCGCGCCTCCTCCTATTTTCCCCCCTCCCCTCAGTCACCCCCTCCTCCGGAGCCGCAAAATGGCGGACACAATGAGCTGAAGCCGCCGTTGCCTCAGCTTCCTTAACCACAGCTTAGACCGCACCCGCCTGAAGGCATAGCCGGCTGGTGCCGCCTTGTTCGCTCGCCCGCCCGCCGGGCGTCCCGTTTCTTCGGTCTCAGGGCAGCCTCGGCCTCCTTCCCGGGTTTTTCCTTTCCCGGCGCTCAGGCCCCGCCGGCTCCCTTCCCTCCCTGCCTCCCTCCCTCCCTGGCGGCGGCATGAAGCTGACGGACAACGTGCTGCGGAGCTTCCGCGTGGCGAAGGTGTTCCGCGAGAACTCGGACAAGATCAACTGTTTCGACTTCAGCCCCAATGGCGAGACCGTTATCTCGAGCAGCGACGACGACTCCATCGTGCTCTACGACTGCCAGGAGGGCAAGTGAGTCAGGGCGAGAGGAGGGGGAGGCCCGGCCCGGCCCGGCGTGGAGGGAAAGCCTTGGGTGGAGGGAGCAGGGCTGCGGGCGGCCTTCCTTGTGGGGGGTGAAGAGCGACCCCCTCAGGTCGAGTTTTAAAGAACCCTTGGGCATCGCGATGGATGGGTGGCTGAGTGGATGGAGGGCGTTGGGGCTACTGGGGCCCTTAAGGACACGAAGCACCCTGGTTGCTTTGCCCTTCAAAAAGCCGATGTTTGAGGGAGAATGGGAGCCGTTTTTTTCTCGCCCCGAGGAAAAGCAGGCCCCGCGATTTACAAAGAAGAAGAAGAAAAAACAGTGTTAAGCTATTTGAAGGGGGTGTGTGGAACCACCGGGGTTCTTTTGGCATTTTAATTACAAACAAATAACGTCTTGTTTTCACATGGTATTATAACTGGTTGTGTGGTCCCTGGCCCATCTAAACGTTTGCTTTGAGTTTACACATGTACAAAAATGTCTGGAAGTGTTCAGTAGTTTGTGTACTCCATTTTCAAACTGACACAACTCTTGGATAACTTTCTTCCCCCTTCCCCAATATTTGATTTATCTATAATACTGTATGGCTGTGTACTTCAAATCACATCTCTGTAGTTAGGACTATCATTGGACAGTAATGTGCCCAGCATTGAGAGAAACCATGGTGATAGCAAATCACATTCAAGAGCTGTTACTACAGGAATAACTTCTGTTTGATTAAAATATCTTTTTTGGAGGTGTTCTGAGGAGGAGAAACTGGTTGGATGGAGGACCATGCTTTGTTTCATCCTCTCCCATTTTGCAGTCTTTATCTCTTTTTGAAAGGAAGGAAAAGAAAGACCCACGGTATGAGGTGGAAGGAGAGTTTTGGAGAAGCAAATTTTCAAGGTTAAGCTGGCAGGATTTTAGGATGCTAGGACATTAGATGCAGGCTTGCACTCTCCAAGCATATTTTAAAAGTAATCTAAAAATCTTTTGATGGTATAGCACTCATTTTTGCAAAGGGCTCCAGAGCCAAACAAATTGGTGGGGAGCACATGTGTGCTGTGTGTTGGCTTTTCGGGGTTGCAAATGAACCAGGTATTGCAAAAGCCTAATAAGGCTGTAGTGATTTCCTTCCAGAAGAAACGAAACTTAATACAGTATCACTCCCCTGGGACTCTTGATGGTTTGGAGAAATGCACATAGTATTATGGGACTAAGAAATCTTTGAATGTGTAGGGCTGTATGTAAATTGAAGGGAAGAGAGAGAAGCTGCATGTCCAATAGATTGGGTTTTCATTGGAGTAAGTTTGAATCAGCCATAGAAAGGAGTTTGATAAATTTGTCAATAAGTGATGACAATAAGCTGTGATTCCATAAATTGCTAACTAGCTATTCTTTGTAATACAGTGGTGCCCCACATAACGAACGATTTGTTGAACGACGAATCAGCATAGCGATGAGGTTTTTGCGATCACAAAAGCGATCGCATAACAATGTTTTCAATGGCTAAAAATCGCTTTGCAATGATTGGTAAGCGTTTCGCTTACCGATTTTCGCATAGTGATGTTTAAGGAACAGCTGATTGGCGGTTCCAAAATGGCCGCCGGGAAAAAACCCGCCCACAGCGTTTTCACGCCCTTTCCTCGCTTACCGTACAGTGAAAATGGCGGCCGCATGGAGGATTTTCGCTTTAAGGTGAGTTTTTTCCCCATAGGAACGCATTAAACATGTTTTAATGCGTTCCTGTGGGGTTTTTTGCCCTGCATAGCGACAAACCCGTATAGTGATGATATTTGGGAACGGATTATCGTCGCTATGCGGGGCACCACTGTACTGTGAACAAATATGAATGAAATTGTATCTGTGACTATTGCAGACACCTCCCCTGAATTTCACATGGCCTACATCTGAAAGTAAAATGATTTGATAGTTGTAAATATTGTTGTAAATGTAGTGTGCTTTTCTTTAGTATATATAAATTAAAAGAGGTGTAATTATAAAATTTTATTTTCATTTTACTTAGTCTCTTTTGTCAGGGAGCAACTTTAACTTTTTAGAAAGATAAAGGACCTGCCGGATTAACAATAGGCTAGCTGAAGTTAGACTAAATTCAAATTCTTACTGGTTTATAAACTCATATTCTGGCATTTTTTGTAACATTATTTCTCCCATTCCTTTCTTGAATGGTCATTGGCCAAGCCAATAGTAATTCCTTACCTTTTCACTGGGAATGAGGTTGGTGTTTAGCTATAACTGTGGCTGATCTTGGTTTACAATAAAATGGCAACACTTGGCCTATTGACCACATTTTGCCCCTAGTCCAGTTTATTTGACTCTTGGACAGCTTTGCCTAAAAGCAAATAAACAAAAAAAGGTGCAGTTACTTCTTCCAACCTTGATTCACTTGAAATAGATGTCCACAAAATCAAAATTGGACTTCTTGTTTTTTCTGTCACACTTGTTCTTGAATGTTTAATAGGTTTTGTCCATGTTCTGTTTATCTTTGGTCTAATGATGCTCTCCAACACCTCATTTAAAGACATAACACTATAGAGTTTATAATCAGGTCATCTATCTTTGGCTAATGTGCTTGTGAATACTTTAGAGGAGACTAAATGAGAGAAAGACTTTTTCTTTCTAGATGTAGTTACTTAGTAATTATGTAACTTCCATCCCCCAACCTGTTTCACAGTACAGTGGTGCCTCGTATTATGACGTTAATTCGTTCCAGCGAAATCGCTGTAAACCGAAAATGTCATAATGCGAAAATAAAAAACCCATTGAAATGCATTAAAACCCGTTTAATGCATTCCAGTGGGCTAAAAACTCATCGTCCAGCAAAGATCCTCCATAGGGTGGCCATTTTCGGTGGCTGTCTTGCGAGGAATCCGTCCCAGAAAGCAGCGGGGAGCCATTTTATTTGCCCAGCGGCCATTTTGAAACCGCCGATCAGCTGTAGGAAAATTGTCATTTTGCAAAGAATCGGTTCCCGAAGCAGGGAACCGATCATCGAAAAGCAAAAAAAGCCTATTCAGACTGTCGTTTTGCGATTGCAAAAGCGTCGTCGTAATGCGGGGCAAGACTGTATAGCGTTGATTTTCCTTAATTTCAAGTTTATCAAACACTGTATCCTGCCATTATAGTGTAGTATTACCAGAGAGTGGGCTTGTTTTGATATAATGCTAAACTGCCATTTAATGTTTGTAGGAGTATGCCTTGGGCTTTTGAACAACTTCTCCCTTCTCCAAGAAGAAAATAATATAATGTTACATTCTTATTGCATGTGTAGTGCCCCATAACCTATAAGATTTACTATTTAGAAGGATGAGTTTTGATGTACAAGATCCAAGTTAGGATAATTGCTCAGGAGTAACATTCTTAGGTGGGACATGGCAGCACTGCGGGTTAAACTGCAGAAGCCTCTGTGCTGCAAGGTCGGAAGACCAGCAGTCATAAGATCAAATCCTGCGACGGATTGAGCTCCTGTCGCTTGTCCCAGCTCCTACCAACCTAGCAGTTCGAAAACATGTAAAAATGCAAGTAGATAAATAGGTACCACCACGGTGGGAAAGTAACTGTGTTCTGTGTCTAGTCGCGCTGGCCTCATGACCACAGAAACTCTTCGGACAAACGCTGGCTCTATGCCTTGGAAACGGGGATGAGCATCGCCCCCTAGAGTCGGACACGACCGGACTAAATATCAAGGGGAATCTTTAACATTCTTAGTCAACTTGCAGCAGAGACACTGCAAAACATATTGAAAATGTCCTTGAGTATTTAAGGCAGATTAGCCTGAAACAAACTACTGCTTACAGTAGTTTCAGAGAGCAGAAGCTTTACATATAAATTTTCCAACTAAGGACTCATAAAACACTCATAGCCAAATATTTTTGTTGCTCAGTTTAACTCAGTGTGTCCCTGTGTTAGAAGATTTCAGGTGATCGTGCTTTTCCATGTGCTGAGCTTTGGTCCAGACAGAATTAGCACTGAGTTCTTTTGCTGCTTTTGTCTGGAGTCAAATCAGATAAGAGTAAGTACCACATTAGCTGCTACAGGTGAGGAAAATTTTGTTGCACTGAAAATTTAGATCTAAGGCTAAAAAATTGGAGGCATTCTAGTTTTGTTTTCTACTGTAGGAAACAATTGAACATGTAAATACAGTGGTGCCTCGCTTAACGAGTGCCCCGTTTAACGATGAATCCCCATAGCGATTTGTTTTTTGCGATCGCATTGCGATGTTTTCAATGGCTAAAAATCGCTTTGCGATGATTGGTAAGCGTTTCGCTTACCTTTTTCGCATTGTGATGTTTAAAAAACAGCTGATTGGCGGTTCCAAAATGGCCGCCCGCTGTGTTTTTGCGCCCTTTCCTCGCTTACCGGGCAGCGAAAATGGCAGCTGGATGGAGGACTTTCACATAACAGTGAGTTTTAAGCCCATAGGAATGCATTGAACGGGGTTTAATGCGTTCCTATGGGCTTTTTCGTTCCATATAGCGACAATTTTTCTGGGACGGATTATCGTCGCTATGCGGGGCACCACTGTATTGTAGAATCAGTGTCTTGGGTGACTTGCAACACCTTATCCGCAATCCTGTTGCTTAGGATAGTAAGTCACACTTAGAATTAGACCCATTGAATCAGTGGAACTGATAGGCGAGTTGACTCACCAAATTCCCACTGATTTAATTGGCCTACTCTAGTTGAGGTTTACTATACTAAGCAAAATGGTTTCAGCCATTGTCTGCAGTTACAAAAGTAAGACGAATTCTGAGAAGCTATGATAATGCAAGAAATGTGTTCTTGCTCAGGGTAAAGCAGAGATTGTAATTTGCTCATAGTATAAGATCTGTGGAAGAAACATGTCATGGTTCCAGTTAGTGGAAGTGTGATGAGTGTGTAATTTTGTTGATATGGACAACAAGTGCTGATCCTAACTTTGCTAACCTTATGTTCTCATAAATGCCTTTGATTTTTGCCCGTTGCTAAAATGAAGTGTACCTGCAATTCCACATATCTTCTAAGAAGATTCAAGTATAATTATGGATAGTTTTGTTAGTTGTGAGCAATTATTAGGCATTTTAAAATGTAATGGTATAACCTAAGATTTAATTATTGTTTGATACTATAAATTAACTTTTCTGATAATGAAAGAAAAAATCTTATAGAGGAATTGTATTCTTTGAATTATAGTATGTGATTACTTTTTTAAAATATTGATATTGCTGAGGAGAATTCTTACATATCCAAGCAAATATAAATGTTTTTAATGTTCTTTCTGACAGACCAAAGAGGACATTATATAGTAAAAAATATGGAGTGGATCTCATCAGATACACACATGCTGCCAACACTGTGGTGTACAGTTCTAATAAAATAGATGGTAAGTAGCTTATTCATTGCCCCTTATCTTGGTCTGAACAGGGGTTGGAATAGATAAACACTGAAGATGTAGTGAAACTGGTTTAAGATCAGGGTGGGCAGCGTTAACAGGTCCAGGGGCATGTTTTCTGTTCCTCTATGACTGTGACCTCAGCACTGCCATGGCTGCAGGAACACACTGGTTAAATACTTGCTTTGAATGTGTTGTTGAAATTCAGTTGTGTGTTTTTGCGGTAATGGTCAACCCTGTTTTAGATGGCAAATTCATGTTTTCATGTTGTTGGGGTCAAATATTTAAAGCATTCAAAAGAGTTCCACAGCTAGCTTTAGACTTTACAGTAAAACAGGGTGACGTTCAGCCATACACCAATGATTTGATTATCCCTTCACTGTGGTACTTGCTAATTTTCCTGCATTCCCTTTATTTTAGTTGTGCTTATCCCTAAAAATGTTTATTTTTAAGTACTGTATATACCATAAGGATATATAATTATAATAAATAAGAATTATAAATAAATATAATAAATTAATCTGTGTAAAAAGCCACCATAGTTTCTCTTTCATTCAGACTGTTATAACAAACTTTTAAGAAGTTATCTAGATGTAATATGTTGAAGAAATTTTCTTTACTGGATTGCTTTATGTTGGTTACATTGATACATGTTGAGGCTCTTGAGTTTGTTTTGAGAAAAAGCAGTGGTCCTGACAGACATTTATGAATGTCAGTTTTAAAAGTTACTATGTATTTTATTTCTCAGTTCCTCTTGTCCATCCTTCACATGCTCTTCTTCCCACTCCTGTAATAATATCCAGTTCTGCAGTTATCCTATTTGTGTTTTTCTGCTTGTTCCATAGACTGAACAGTTCACTTTCTGCCCAACATTGTTCTCAGCCCTTGAGATGCTTTCCCCACTGTCCCATCATTCCCATTATACAACTGGGAAGCCCCATTTTCTTGCTTGTCAGCCATGTAGTGGAGAATTGCTAGTTTTTGACCTAGGAAGCTCTACGGTAATGATTTACTCCTTGACCATGCTTGGGGATTATGATAATACAACTTATCTGGATTAAAATAGTTTATTTGTCTTTTACTTTGCTAGTTTGCTCTTTGGAATAAGCTCTTGCCAGATTCAGCAGTCATGATCTGAAATAAGGTGTTGAGGTTTTTGAGGTATTCATAAAGATTATTGAAGAGATGGTGTAAACATGCAAAAAGGCCAGTTGGAACTTAGAAAAGTTACCGTATTTTTCGCACCATAAGACGCTCTTTTTCCCGACAAAACGGGTGTGGAAAGTCTGTGCGTCTTATGGAGTGAAGAAAACAGATTATATTTTCCTGTTTTCTTCTCCTAAAAAATTGGTGCGTCTTATGGAAAGGTGCGTCTTATGGAGCGAAAAATACGGTACATGTCACAGCAAGTTAGGGTTTCTGGGTTCTTCTTTGTGAACATCATGCTGTTGCATGCTGTCTGGTTGTTGCTGCTTGCAGTGGAAACAGCCAGCGATGACTAAAGTACATTATGTACTGTACACACTTTATGAATATTTCAGTTTTTCCTATAACTGGTTGTGCTGAAATAATTGATATTACAGTGGAGGTGTGTCAAACGCGTGAACTTTTAAGACATTCTCCCTTAAAATTTAGTTTCTATGCTTTAGTGGACGCCATCCCATTTGCCAGGATTGCATAATGTAAAGCCCAATTTTTGCCCCCTCTCCAGCTCTATTTGTACCCTAGGAAGTTTCTGCAGACAATATTCCTGCATTTTGGGGGACAGAAGCTGAACTGTTGATGGTGCAAGGCATTTATAATGTCTCTCTCTTCTCTTCTGGATTTAGAACTGTATGGTGAGATTGGTTTCGCTTTATACATCCCTCTCCTAAATCAAGAATTATAGACTAGAATCCTGCAGACTTGTACATTTGTATGAGGGCAGTCAAGCAAACTGTTTTCTCAGCTGCACATTGCATACTAAGTCTTTCCTAGCTAAGTCGTCATTCATACAAGGAACCTGGAAAATGCAGAAAAGCACTTCTATGAATCGTATTAAGTACATGCAAGACTAAACTGGATTTTAGCTCAGCACTGGAATTGTACAACTAAGGGTCAGACTAGGCATGGCAGGTCGATACCCATTAACCAAAGTTATGGATGATCCAGGGTCATAATCAAGACATTATTTATTTATTGTATTGTATTGTATTGTATTGTATTTATACCCCGCCTATCTAGTCATTTCGACCACTCTAGGCGGCTTACAACATAAAGCATAACAAGTTCAAGAAAAATTTATAACAAATTAATTAATTAAATGATTCTGTAAGATGGGAAAAATACAAAATAAATCAAATAGAGAAAAAAAGACTTGTAGGAGAGTGGTCAGTTGCCTTTTCTTAGTAATATAGTTATGTTTGAATTCTCTTCCCCACCCAAACTGCCTGCCATGTGGCTGCTGCTAGACTCCTAAAACATGCGAGGTTCATGGTGTATGTCTGGTTTTGTCACTTAGTAAACTTAACAAAGCAACTTGTAGTTTGCTAGCATAGGGCAGTCCTGCAACAAACCTCATATAGCCTTGTCGCAGTATAAAAGCACAAGCAATGTGAGTTTTGATACATATCTTCGAAGAAATCATTCAAATTATTGTGTTATGGAGCAAATACAAGTATGATGGTTGTTGTGGGTTGTTGTGGGTTTTCGGGCTCTTTGGCTGTGTTCTGAAGGTTGTTCTTCCTAACGTTTCGCCAGTCTCTGTGGCCGGCATCTTCAGAGTATAATGCTTCATGTTGTAGGTTGTACAGTCTAATTTGATGAGGGGCATGAGGGATGTACTTTGTCTACATTTATTTGAGAGCATAGGAAAGACAGAGAGTTATCTGGAAGTTGAGTCATGGCAACTGGACTTCTTTCTTATTAGTTGAAGGACCAAACCCACCAGAAAGACCATGTTAACAGCCCTTGACAATTGGTGGAAAAGGACTGCAGAAATGGGATTTTCACTCGCCCACTCCCCATCCTTTGTCCATCTAATGAGCCTATACAGAGCAGGGGGAAGTAAAACCAACATGGAGGATATCAGGGGTCTCCAACCTACTCTCCTCAGATTGAAGAAGCTACTTTCAACCTAACAAGAAAGAAGTCGATTTGCCATCACTCAGCTTCCAGATAACCTCACCCGGATGACTAAGAATCTCCACAGATAGACAGGAGAGCTGTCTTTTCTAGCTGAGGTTTACCACAATTTATGTGTATGAATTATTTTAGTGCTTCTGAATTTCTTCATGGGACTAGTGCTGCCAATGCCATCATTGATGAAGAATTCTGCAAGTTTCAAGCCTGCTTTTCCGAGCATACATTGCCTGATTCCAGGCTGAGGTAGTAGTTTGTACAGTTTGAGGGTCTATGATACCACCCGGTACAGGAGATAACTGTACAGGCCACTGCCTTGCCTGTGACAGAGCTTTAACAGCTAAAAGAAGTTGCTGCCTGCGTTTGTTCAGTCCTCAGCCACTGTTATTACTTGGTGAAACCAGCAGTTTGTCTGTTTTTTTAAGTGTCAGGTTCTGAAGTAATTGTTTGGTAGCTTGTCAGACTATCCTGTCAATCATATTAGGCTGCAAAATAGTTCTGAAAATATGCTTCCTGATCTCTGAATGATCATACAGAATAATCGAATGTGGATTCCCTGGAAAATTCCTATGTAAATTATATCCATGTAACTGAAAGTCTGCAGAACATGTGGGCTTCTAGTCCTAATTTGGATATTTTTTAAGCTGTTTGTTTGGAAGAAGAAATATATTTTAACTTCTTTTCAGCCTTTGAGGCAGCCTTTTTCAACCTGGTGTGCACCATATGTATTGGATTGCTTCCCCCAACATTTTCAGGTTATAAGTGATAGTGTAGAACATCTACCAGCTTTGGAAAGTTGCTCCGAGGAAAGCCACACTTCATCTATTAAGCTAACTGACTGACTTATACATTTGCGTTTATGAATATCTCTTAGTAAAATGTGAATGGGGAATATATAATTGACCAGACACTGAGGTGTATCTCTCATTATCCTGTCCAGTGGCTTGTACTGGCTGGGGCACATGCACCATGAATTTAAAGAACATTTGAATTGTAACACATTCCCAACTCTGAAGTAAAAACCCCAAAACATAATTTTACAAGGCATATGATGATACATCTGCGACTTGCTTGTTCCCCCCCCTTACAGATAGGTCTTCAAAAATTAAGGGTTAAAATGCAACAATAAAACATAATTTATCTTAATGCTCTATTTTGTATTTGTATGTACAGCTTTTGACAGTTTTTCCTCTCTTTTTTGTCATTCTTTTTAAATCAAGGATAATGTTAGTGGTCAGTATCCCAGAATTTCCACCTTTTTCATCAGTTGTTGAACTGGAGAACGTTTGCATTCTGAGGTTAACAGGGCTGCAGGAGCCTAACATAGCCACTCAGCTGCATACTAGAACTTAGAACAGATGTGCAAATAGAGAATAAAGTTTTTAAGCCTAGCTATTGCAGGATATTATATATGGTGGCTGTAGTTTTTACTCCTTCCTTAAATGTGTTTAAAGAAAAGGAACTGCATTATTAGAATAAATAAGCTGTAGTTGTAACTGGCAGTGCAGGGTTGGCATAATATTGTCTTCCGGTGATTTCTTGCAGATACAATCAGATATCTCTCTCTGCATGACAATAAATACATCAGGTACTTCCCAGGACACAGCAAGAGGTAAGATGACAAGTGCACTGATCTGTACTACAAGGATCAACATAATTTTGGTAGTATGGAAGCAAGATGAAGTAATGCTTGACAAATATCAGCTGTAATAGATTTAGTTGCATTTTTATTTCCCCTGCCTAAAAGTTCTATGGTTTATTGAAGCAGTAGAAACAATATGAAATGATTGCTTTGTCTTTCATATTTATTTCCTTGTTCCAGAGTTGTTGCGTTGTCTATGTCTCCAGTGGATGATACTTTTATTTCTGGATCACTTGACAAAACTATAAGACTTTGGGATCTCCGGTCTCCAAATTGTCAGGTAAAATATCCAGTAGTACACTTGAAGTAGCATCGAGGATTGCTTGATATGTGCACAGAATAATTCTTTGCAACATCTTTCCATTTTCTAGGGCCTGATGCATCCTCAAGGGAAGCCCGTGTGCTCATTTGATCCAGAAGGGCTGATTTTTGCAGCTGGAGTCAATTCTGAAATGGTGAAACTTTATGATCTCCGTTCTTTTGATAAGGTACATAATATTCACCTTAGGTTAGGTAGATTAGACTTCTAATTTTGATGCCATCACTGGAGTAGAATCCATATAGACCCAAGATAGAGAATTTTACAAAACAAGTAGTCATACCCAGAGTTAAAACAACTGACCTGCATGTGCTCATGCCTGAGAAAATACCTTGTTGAGTGAGACAAAATCCACAGAGAACAGCATTATTTCTACAAACTGCACCAGCCAGTATGCACTGTCTGGTTCCAGGTCTCAGTTTACCCACACCTCCCTCCAAACGTAGACGTTCTCGGTTTTGTTCTTGAAAAACACTAATAATTCCAAATTTGTAATTGTATTAAAATTGTAATATGTGTACACTCATGCCTGCTCCCATAAGTGGAGTGACTAAGATAGTTCTTCTGTACTCACTTACTTGACTTTCTTTATTGTAGGGCCCATTTGCTACTTTTAAAATGCAGTATGATCGAACTTGTGAGTGGACTGGGTTGAAGTTCAGCAATGATGGTAAACTTGTTCTTATATCAACTAATGGAGGGTTCATCCGGCTTATTGATGCCTTTAAAGGAGCTGTTCTTCATACATTTACGGTGAGAGTTGCTTTCTTCACTTTTTAGGGAGCTTTTGGTGTTGGACTTTTCTGAGATAGTGGATGAGATGTGTTGTCCAGTGTAGGTAATATGGTTTTAGAGGCAGCTGGCTCCTCTTTTCTGCATTCTTTGTTCATCTGGATGTGCTATGTTTGGTGAAGGCATGTAGGCTTACAAATTGCTACTTCTGTTGTCCAGTCATAACTGGATGAAAAGCAAGTTTTGAAATTGTATCACTGCACTTTAGACTGAACTAGTAAAATGCATCACCAAGTTAGTGACTGAAATGGAATACAGTGGCCAATATGAGGCGGTGGGTAAAAGCGTAACAGAGCCGCTAAAGTATACAACCCTACTTCATATTGCATTTTGGGATCCTAATGCTCATGTTCTCCCTAATGTGCATAAACTACATTATCTAACTCACTGAGAGTTTCTCTACATTTCACAACTATCAATATTGGCCACTGTGCTGATAGTCAAGGGAAAGCTGACCTGCCTTATTTCTTGGATTTTTATATTGATCAAAATTGAGAACAGTTTCCCCTTTCTGTTTGGTCCTGCTTTTGTCTTAGAATTGGAACTTGGCTACATTCCTAGTTTTAAAAGCTAAATTATTTCATCCAGGGCAGGGATGAATAGCATGCAGCCTTCTGTATGTTGGAGTGCAACTCCCATTGGACCTAGATGGCATGCCAGGGGAGAGGGATTGACAAGAGTTACAGTTCAGTGATATCTGAAGGGTCACACTTGTCGTGTTCCCTTCGCTGATATACCCTTGTTCCACAGCTTGAGCCGTGGCTTGACTTTCCTGTTTTTAGATCCTTATAGGCACTAAATATACCCTGTTTTATAGGGGTACAACAACAGTAAAGCTGTCACGCTGGAGGCTTCATTTACCCCTGATTCGCAGTTTATAATGATCGGTAAGTGCTCCTTCCTTCACCCTGTGAAACTAGGACATCAATTTCCAGGCCATTTCCACATAACTTATAAGCTTGGAAAGGTTTCTACCTTCCAACATGTAGCCTGTATAATTAAATTGTAAACCACCCAGAGAATGCTTTGAGCACTATGGGGCGGTGTGTACGCAGCACACTTTTTTTTTGTTTCCTGGCCATGCTTGATTGATTCATTGTGTGATGTTTTAAGTGGATATCCCAATTTACCCCTGCTGCTTGGCAAAGAAGAGCTCTTCTGGTGGTTTTTGATACTCATAGTGTTTAATTCCACCTGCAGGATCAGAGGATGGGAAGATCCATGTTTGGAATGGAGAGACTGGAATGAAGGTAGCAGTGCTGGATGGCAAACACACAGGGCCTATAACCTGTTTGCAGTTCAACCCCAAGTTTATGACCTTTGCCAGCGCATGCTCCAATATGGTAAGGAGATCAGTCCTTCTGAAAACGTTCCTTCATTGATTGACTTCATTGATTGACTGTTCCTTTGTAAAGAATATCAACTAGATGTTGTCAACTTTGAATAGTAATTATCTTTCTCAGAAACTGCCAATGATTTTAGTGTATGAAGTGCTGAGAGACAATCCAAACTATTAAATTGTTTTAAATCTCTTTGGTGTTAGTAATTTAACAGCTAGCTGTATACCCATGAGGCCAGATTATTAATTCACAATGCCTTTTTATGCTGAGATACCTTACTTAAATCATCAATATTGAAGTAGTGGCAGATAGGGAGGCAGAGCAAGGGTAGAGATGCATTTATATCTCAGCCCATATTGTATAGAGATATACTATTTTGAAATTTGAAAGCTGCAACAAAATAATTAAAAACTGGAATGCTGTTGATTGGTGCTTTAGTGACGAGGATATGTTTAGTCAAGAAACAAAAGTCCGTAATGTCAAGTTTTGTGGTGATTTCTTTCTCTTTCTTTTCTTTCTTTTTCTTTCTTTCTTTTATTGTCAATATATTTTTATACTGTTCTGTTTTATTTTGTAAGCCGCCCTGAGTAGACATGGTCTAGAGGGTCGGGGTAAAAATCAAATAAATAAATAAATCTGTCAAAATGCTATGCAGTGACCATTCTAAGTCAACCCAGTCTAAACAAAACTTCTCAATGTCTGACAGTTGAAGATTCTGTATTTATTTCAAGACCTGGTAATTGTTTGAAATCAGTGGGTGGCAGAAGTTTTTAAACTCATACTTACTAGCTTTTTCCCCCACAGGCCTTTTGGTTACCAACTATAGATGATTAGTTCCTCATTCAGTTTCCGCTGGGAAGTTTTTATGCTGTACCGACAGCAGCGCATTTCTGAAGACTACAGTGAAAGTATTGGGATTGCATCGTTCTGACGGAATGTTCCTAACTAACACAATCTACATATGTTTTGCTTGATGCATTTCCTCACCAGGATTTTTGATTGTTCAGTATCAGATCTGGAAACCTGAATGTGATATCTGCAAGTATCTCAGCTGTAGCAAATAATCCAAATTGAACTCATGTTAGCATCTGTCCTCTGGAATATATTCTGGTTGAATTTTACCACAGCTATTACATACTGACGCTTTAGTCCCTTTTACTTGTAACTTCCTGGTTTATCACTTTGGATGCTGTGCTTGCCTAAAAGTGGACTTTCTAGTATGTTCTCTGCAGTTCGAAATATCAACAGTATCTTAAGCTGTGCACTTTTAAGGAAGTGTTTCTTTGTGTTACAAACAGCTTTGTGCCATAATCAAATAACCACCCAGTTCCTGAGAGAAGTTTCTAAGGATGCTCAACCCTGTACATATGGAAAGTCCTGATACAACAATGGAATGTTAACTTCCCCAAGATTTGAGCCCTCATCCATCGGCAGTACTGGGACATGCAACCACTTGGGACAGTCTGGTGGAGAATCTTAAGCAATACAGGAGCTGTTCAGTTGGAAAATGCTCCCTGATTGACTGAATGGAGATGCACTCCTTTTCCTCCTTCCTTCAGTGTAATATCAGCTGACTCTGTAAATATGGGGGTGGGGAGGGTGGAGGGGGGCTATTTTTTTATTATTGGCTATTAAAAAGTAATGCTTGGACCAATACAGTACTGTGGAATGAGTCTTGGTTGTGGCCTTTCACTCAGCATTCCAAGTTTTCCTTACATAGGTTGAGTACCTCTTTTTCCACCAGCCCCAGTCTTCAATCATTGTGTTTTGTAATTGTATAAACATTAAGTTAACTTGCTTTTCCCCCATCAAACTAATCCGATGGAACCAGAATTTCCATCTAATGTTTTTGTTCTTTGTTGGCCTGTTAATCTGCTAGTAGATAAATTCAGTGTGATATAGCCCTGCATAGTGGCATCTTTTCCAGGCCAGCAGGAATGGTATGGAACTTCTGCTCTTCCCTTCCAGTTGTTAATATATATACTGCCATTTCCCCTACATTTAGCAAGGCATTTATGTGAGCATTGCTCAGATGGTTTGGGGATGTTTCCTCTGCAGTATTAGTTACAGCTGTGCTATACATTGGCTGAGATCCAGCAGTTACAGTAGCCGCATGCAATACCTAAGGATTTGATGAGTTACCTCCTCTTAAGTTCCACTGATTCTGTTGCCTGCTCGAATTGTGACTTCCTACTGGATTTCAGCTTGTAAGTACAAGCTGAAATCCAGTTTTCTGTATCCTCCAAGGAGCTGTTGTACCTGAACCAGTCTGAGGAATGAAGTGGTTTAAGCATGGGCTAGTGAAACATTTTTTAGCTGTCTGTGTTAAGAGTATTGTGCTCAAGTTCTGTACTTTGTGTTCAGCAGTTTGAATCTCCCTGAACTCTAGCTCAGAATTACATCAGCAGCCTTCTTCTGCACTTATTTATACACCTTGCAATGATGGAAATCCAATCAGGTGCAGAAATGAGAATCGGGACATAGTGTACTGAGTTGTATTCTCAGCAATAATGTTTTGTATGGTGCTGCATCAAGTTGCACATTATTTGTTTATGGGGGGGGCTAATTTTTTTTAAAAAAACTAGTGTCCTACCACTGCTACATTTGCAGCTGTTCTCAGTTTTACGCATTTTCTTAAAAAAAGGTGGAAGCAAGTTTCTCAAAGTCCTTGCGAAATTCAAGCTTGAACCAGTTGTTATGCTGTGTCTTTGTGTCTGGGTTTTGATTTAGGTCAGATCATTTAAACAGCCCCCTGCTTATAAATTTATTCGGATTTAGCTTTTTTATGCATTCTAAGTTGAATTTTTTGAATCTGTATTTGCAGCTTGAGCATAACCTTACAGATACTTTCAGTAATAAATTACAGCATTAAGCACAGCACAGCATTGTTACATAGTCAAATGTTCAATGTATTGTTTCTACATTGTTCCCTCCCCATCTCCCATGATTTGTAATTCTTCACATGGATACAGTACAACCTTGAATCAGTGTAGCAGTCAATTTTCTCAGTTTAGGAAGTGCAGTCATAGTTTCTTGATAGTAAAATTAACAGCTAAATTTATAAGTTTGACTGCCTGCAAAATACTTCAAAGGACATTTGGAGTCTGCCACCTTTTGACAAGTGTTCTCTCATGTCGTGTCAATTACTTCACACATAGGCTTAAACCCTAAATAACTTACCTTGCCTTTAGAAAAGTTGGTTACTGGCCAAAGAAGATTGGGCAGATATGTTCATTATTCTGTTCCTCATGTGTAAAAACAGATGCAATTGGTTCTAGACTTCCCATATATCTTCTGAGAGCTTTTATGGTGTGTGTAGCTGGCTACTTCCTCTTACTCCACTGCATGTGGTTAATTGTCTTTATCTGTACACAGATCCAGCTCCATTCTGGGTGGGGAAAATTGCTAAGTCTCTTGTTACTGCAAACTGCACTTTAACTGGTCAGGTTCATAACGGTATATGACATTAAGGTGTAGTGTGCTGTATGGGAAAGTATTAACTGTTAAAACTACCAGTATGTCCTCAGATTAAACTTCATTGGGTATTTGACTTAAAAATTGGATTTTTATGCATACTTGCAAGGGAGCAACCTACATTAAGCTCATTGAGATTTGCTGCTGAGTAAATTAAATACACATAGAATTGGATTGCTAGGTTATGCATCTCCTTGACTGAATGTGTGTCATATGACATATGAAAAGCTACTTATTGTGGATGTACATAAAAATAAAAGACTTTGTAGAGAAAATATCTTTTAAGAGTGTTAAACTGCGTGCTATCTGCACAGAACAGACTGTGGTGGCAAACACATTGGGCACAGGAAGTGAGAACAACTTTTTTTCTTTTTGTTTCAATCTTTGCTTGCCAAGAATAGGCTCTTAATGAGGTATATTATTGCATATGAGACTTGGAGCCATCTCATCTCCCAACCAGAGCATTCCTGTTGAGGATGCTTGCCAGCCATACCAAATTCTCAAACTATTTTACACCATTCAAGCAGTCAGATTCATTTCTCTTTTTCAGTCTTCTGTGTTCCAACTGATATTCATCATTCCTAGGCAAGGGAACTCCTCACTAGCTTATGATTTGTTGACTGCAGGATAGATTCTGCTATGCAAACATTAATGTGAGCTGTAATTTAATCTTCAATGAAGTTTCTGTTAAAGGAGAGTCAGCTTGGTAGTATTTTATATAATAAATTAACATTTCATGTGGTACAGCAATGTAACATACAAATGAGTTACACACGTCAACAATATACAAAGACAATCCTCAAACTATAAAAGCCAGTAGACTAAACGAATTGTTTGTCCAAACTAGAGCAGACCTACTAAATGAGTGGTATCTGTTAACATTTAAGTAAGTCTCATTGATTCAATAAGTCTACTTAACATGGAACTAATAACTGAATTTAGATCAAAACCCTACCCTGCCCAAAAGTCAGGTGTTCTCAGCATGCATCCAAGGAAAAACCATACAAGATACACACTGATTTCCTTCAGTGGTAATGAATGTACAACTCTGATATGTTCTGTCCAATTGGTTAACAATTATTCAGCTGCCCTTGTTTGATACTACATGGCATCCCCTAATTTCTGGGTGTTTCACAACTGCTAAAGCCAAAATGTAAAACGAACCTAATCAATAGCTTATAAAATAGGTAAAGAGTTGCTATCAAAATCTTCATTCCAATTGTATGAATAAAAATGGTAATTTCATATAATTTCAAAATGCCAGTATATTATTTTCTTTGTTATTTCATATTGCAGTAGCTTAATTCCAAAGGAAATGGCTATCTTTTCAAATTATATGTCTGAATTTATTACAGAGCTAGAGCTCACCAGGGTCACCATCCTCTGACTTTCATGCAGCTTTTGGAAGGAGAGCAAACAATAGAATTTGGCAGGGGGGATTGCTACTTTACTCCATACTCTTCTGCTATAGCCAAGCCAGGACTGTGTCACTGACATAAAGTGATGGCATCAAACTGTATCAATGGACTTCTCTGATGCTGCTTTCAAAAAAATGAAGGTGCAGTCTCCACAGTCGTGCATCTATCTGGATATGGCCCGCATATCCAAAATGCAGTTCTGCCATTTACTGAGTGTTAAGACATCATTTGGTATTCATCCTTCTTGTACAGTGGAATTACGAAAACAGAAATGTCATCATATGATGCAGGGATATTATTGTCCATAGTCCAGTAGTATCCATCTTTCTTCCCTCTTGCTTTCCGTACCAGACATTTGGCCAGCTCTACAAATCTAAAGAAACAAAAGTATTATTCAGTCTGTCTACAGAGCATGGAATAGCAATCTTAAAGATTCTAAAGGATAAGCAGTCTTAAAAGGACAGATCTAAAAGGATGAACTCAATAATTAAGGCACTGGGCTAAGTCTTGGAAGTTTTTATTTTCTGGCACATTCTCTTTATATACTATTACGTAAAGGAACTCCTTGATGTAACTGCAGCACACTTGACCCTGAGTATTGACAAAGGAAATAAAAACTAACCGGCTACAATTAATACAGGTAAGTAATTTGGCAAGTCATTTATACCAAAGTTATGGATCTATGAGAACCCTCACGGAACTAGAACAATATAGTATAGAAAAAGATTGAAATAAAAGGAAGGGAATAACTTCAGTAATATATAAATTTGGTTGAGAAAGCATTTCCCAGGGGTATGGGATCTAAAATAACATGGGAAACTAATTTGACTATCAGTATATCAGAGAAAGAATGGGTGGAAATATGGACTACATATCCATATAAATCAATATCAGTCAAAGTGAAAGAAATGGTTTTGAAGGTAGTCCCCAGATGGTATTGGTACTCCACAAAATTACACAAAATTAATAGAGAAATCTCAGATAGGTACTGGAGAAACTCTGGAAATAAAGGCAAACTAGAACATATGTGGATCTCTTGCCCCGAAGTGGAAGCGTATTAGTGGGAAATAATTAAATGGATAGAAACATTGTTGAATCAAAAAAAATTAAAAATGAAGCTTTATTATTTTCAATAAGGATGGAAATGAGAAATTATTCAATAAAGACCTAATTGCACATCTTATTGGTGCAGCAAGAATCAAAATTGCGCAAAACTGGAAAAATGCTCAAGATCTTTCAGTAAAAAAATTTTGAGAACAGAATCTGGCAAATGGTCCTGACCAATCAAATTAAAATATATAGAGGGGAAATAAAACAGGATAAATTTATGAAAACCTGGCAACCATTATTAACATATGGAATTAGCTCAAGAAAAGAATAATGTGATGTGGGAAGTAATTTGTATTGCTGGCATGTAATATTTTAAAAATAATTAAGTATGTTAAAATACGAACTAGTGGCTGTATAAAGAAAGACAATCTACTGAAAGAATATGTAAATACAGTGGTGCCTTGACTTACGAATGCCGTGGCCTACGAAAAAATTGACTTACAAACAGCTCCGGCCGCAAAATTTTGCTTTGACTTCCAGCCGGAGCTTTGACCTACGAACAAAAAAAGGCAGGAGAAAGGGGTGGGAAATTCAAAAAAAACCAAAAACCGTTGGTGGCAAAGAGGCTGCTGTGGAAGGCCGGGTGAGCTACCAGATGGCTCCCAGTGCGAGCAGGGCCAACCGGGGGGGGGGAGGAGAAGGAGGGTGTCCCCTTTACCAGGGCAGGCGGTGGGGAGGA